CAGTGATAACAAAGACAGACCTTGCAACTCCCCAGAATTTTCTTACAAATAATCACACTAAAATGTTAAATAACTGGTAACATTGATGGTCACATTCAAAGCATGTTTGTGTTTTAGGCAGTCACTGACCATGATGAAATGAAATACAATAAGGATCAGCAGATACATGTTCAGTTCAAGTTATATTGCAATCAATCTATTGATTACTACACAAAACAATACTGTGAAAAAGTTCAAATGCTGAAAGTTAATGAACTGTTCACTGGCTCACTGTTGACCTCTAAAAGAAAAAGGTGAAGTCACCACAGTCCAACTGGATTTGGAGCTGCTCTCTCATCAGAGAGAGAGAACAGGTAATAATCACCATGCCTCGTTTAAGGGGAGAGGTTAGTCCCAGGTAAAGATGCTGGCACCAGCACAGTAGGTAATGGTTGGGCTGAGCCCATCCACTCCAGGCCAGCCTCATTCATTTTCTCTCTTTCCTTCTCATCTTTTTTATTTTTCTTTTCTTCATTTTCCTGACGTCATGGGGAGGTTGGAGATGTATCAGCAGTGACTCCTGGCTCACAGGCCCAAAGTGCGGATTCCTGGAATGGCGATGCGACATCAGCTGCAGCAATCATGGAGTGGGGCCTCCTGGCTGCAGCAGACCCAGAGCAGGGACCTGACTGAGGTCCTATAGCCATGTTTGGGACACAGCCGATGAAGGTGAACTCTATTTAAGTACTTTCTTTTTATTCTTTTGTACCTCAAAATGGTGCTAGATTTTGGTGACAGAGCACTTTTCATCATATATCCCCAGATATATGTAACAATATAAATCATTCATTCATTCATTCAGGTTGAGAAGGGGAGTCGTTCATGGTAACTTCACCCAATGCAGGAATTGAACTCATGCTGCTGGTATCACACTGCATCACAAACCAGCCATCCAGAGCTAAGTAACCCCCCCAACTCTTTAAAATACATCCTTATCAGGGCATAGTTTCAGTGGTTCTTTCACTGGTTGCAAAGGAGATCAAGATTACTTGTTATCAGAACCTCTCAATTAGTCCTTTTTACAAAATTAGAAAAATTTAAAACTAATAACGTTAATACTCATTTCAGTGTAATGAAAGATTTCATACATAAATATCACCTTTAAAGTTTGCATTTTAAAATAGTGGTACGTGGGGTGGTGGTAACTTTTGCAAAGCATTACCAAAATAATAACTAGATCATATAGTTCTGAAATAGTAGCCTAATCCAGTATGTGTCAGAGAGCAGGAAACCACTGGAGAGTTAATGGAAAATTATGTTTTTTACTACAGTGATTTACATTAGATGGGTTAAACATTGATGGCCATTAGATGGTTATTAGTTCAGAATAATCAAAAATTGATTTTAGTTTAGAAAACCTCAAGATTAAAAGCTTTTAGGGCTCTTCACAGGAGAACTGACAGGGGTCAGGAACATATTCTAGTTTAAGAGAAAGAACAGTTACCTCAGTGCAAAGATTAACTTGTGTAGCTTCCAAACCAGGACCGTTTGGTTAAAAATGTGCATGTTATTAAAAGCTGAGAAAATATAAGCCCTCAATTTTGTAAATATTCATGTAAGAAGACTGCACAATTCAGGAAAAAACTGGGCTGAATCAATTAAGTCAACTTTAAAGACTTGATATCAATGTGTAATTTCACTGGACAATTATGTAATTGTATCCATAATGGATAGCGTCAGAACAGAATGAAATTTTGTTTCACTCCATTTTAAAACCTTTCAAACGATATTCTAGATTTAAATAACTTTGGTTTTTTTTCATCTTTTGTCAATGAAGCTTATTCTTTTATCAAATAAGCACTGTAGTCTTATTTGACTATGTTTCAGTGAAAGGCCACGATGCTGACTAAAAGAAAAAGTCATATTTCATTCTGTCCAGCAATATCGTCAGCTTGGATCATGACATTTTCAAATTCCTGTACAATATTACTAAGCACCATGAACTTCAAGAATATTTTACTATTATTACTTTATATTTTTGTTGTATTTTTGCAGATTTCTGAAGCTGGAACATTTGCGGGTATAACATAAAAGAGGAATGCATAGAAATTATGCTGAAAATGTGATGGAAATAAAACATAGAAAATTCGAGCAGGAGTGCCCCATTTGCCCTATTAAAGCTTTTCCCATATTCTGTAACATTGTGGCTGATCTAATGTGGCCTTATTCCACTTTGCTAGTTATTCCCCATTACCCTCTATTCCCTTGTCAACCTAAAGTAAAAAACATTGATGATCTTTCCAACTCATCCTTGAATATTGAATGACCTAGACTCCATTGATCAATGGGGGAAGAGAGAGTTTCAAACACTAACAACACCTTCCCCCACTCCCCCTACCTTGAGAGAAGAAATCATTCCTCATCTCAGTCTGAAATGGGAGACTTCTTTTTTAAACTGTGTCCTTTAACACTAGATTCCCAATGACAGAAGCCTCCTCTCAGTATCCACTTGGTCAAGTCACTCAGAATCTTATATCTTTCAATAACATCACTTTTTATTCTTTTAAATTCCACTAACTATGGGCCTAATTTTCTCAAGCAGTCCCGACTTGACAATCCCTTCCTCCCAGAAATCAGTTGAGTAAATCTCCTCTGAACTGCTTCCATATGCAAAGTGATCAAAACAAAGAAAAGAACTGAACAGGAGATAATTAACAAATCAATTCAGTTAAATGGTAATGGCCATTATGATAAAATATTGATAACTTTTAGTCAATAAATATTCATTTTGAAATGGTCAATCATATTATCCAAGCTACAGTCTTGTTGCTGTGCATGACATTCTTAAATAGACTCTTCTACCTGGGCATAAATATAGCACCTCTCTACAGACACATTCAGACAAAGCTAATGTCTGATACAATAACATTATAAAATATTTGCACAAGGTAAAATGACTCCAATCAAAGCTGTGCAATAAGTTACAAATTAAAATATTAATGATTTTTATTTCTGATCTCATGAGAAAATATTGATGAAAGGTAGAAATTCAGTAAACAGCAGCCAACTGCACAAATATCTTGATTGGATTATTAATCCTTTGTACTGTCAGTATTTTCAGTGATGCTATTTCACACCTCAGAATCAAGGTGAGACTTGAACCTGGGACACTACTGCTACATCAGAAGATCCCTTGTTAGTCACAGAGCCGTAGACATGTACAGCATGGAAACAGACCCTTCAGTCCAATTTGTCCATGCCCACCCGATATCTTAAATAAATCTAGTCCCATTTGCCAGCATTTGGCCCATATCCCTCTAATACTTTCCAATTCATGTACCCATCCAGATGCCTTTTAAATGTTGTAATTGTACCAGCCTCCAGCACTTCCTCTGGCAGCTCATTCCAAACATGCAACACCCTCTGCATAAAAAGTTGCCTCTTAGGTCCCTTTTAAATCTTTCTCCTCTCACCTTAAACCTGTGCTCTCTAGTTTTGGACTCCTCCACACACCTCCCCCCCCCCACCCCCCTCCCTCCCTCCCTCCCCCCCCCCCCCCAACCCCCCAACCCCAGGAAAAGACCTTGTCCATTTATCCCATCCATGCTCTTCATGATTTTATAAACCTCTGTAAGGTCACCCTTCCGCCTCTGACACTCCAAGGAAAATAGCCCCAGCCTCTCCCTACAGCTCAAACCCCCAACCCTGGCAACATCCTCATAAATCTTTTCTGAACCCTTTTAAGTTTCACAACATCCTTCCTGTAGCAGTGGGACCAGAATTGCACGCAGTCTTCCAAAGTAACCTAACCATTGTCCTGTATGGCTGCAATATAACCTCCCAACTCCTAAGCTCAATGCACTGACCAATAAAGGCAAGCGTACCAAACACTTTGTTCACTATCCTTCTTGTACACTTGCAATGGAAAGTGATCAGTTATAGACTACGGATTTCAACAGTATGGCAAGAAGTAATTTTGTCTATTATTCTGTGGTCATTCTTTGCTAAAGCAGTACAAATATTTGCATCATCTTTATTTTAATGTTTATTCAATTTTCCCTTCTGCTCTAGTTATTTCCTATGATAAAGGACACAATGCTCTACTAACCACGATCAGATGTAACTTCTTTCTCATTGAATAATTAATTTCAATGAACAATTTCACCATTATCTCCAGCATCGTTTGTTCACTATATTAAAAACCTCAACTAAATATCACCTTTGCTGTGCTTATTCCTATGGATATTGTGCCAGTATTTTAAATAATACTGGAGGTAGTGCAGGCAATATTCCATTTTTCTTATTGAAGACTGTGGTTTTAGACTCTCAATAAGTTCCTGAAAGCAATGCTTTGTATAGCTTAGAGCTGAAAGCAGAAACAGTCAGCTCCTCCTCTAGTTACAGCGTCTTATCTTTCCATTACCAGCCTTGCGGCATTATATTCCTGCCTCTTGAGCTTATCTTACGCATAACTGCTTACATGCAGCCAGTTATGATGGCTCTCATTTGCTGACTGATAAGTTCATAAATTTTCAAGAGCACTTACACAAGTCTGGCAACAAAAACAAAACAGCTATGCAAGTACATACTTATTGAGCAAAGCCCATTGACTCAGAAGAGGAAAGGCTGGTGTTTTCACATATTTCATATTGAACGGTTACCATGCTATTGTCATCAGTTTTATCCACAAATACTTGTGTGGAAGGAATCCACTTACATTTATCAATTGTTCTATTTCAATGGAAGATTTGTCACTGGTAACTTATCTAGAATTGCATAATTTACCCAGAACAAAAACGACATCCAGGATATAAATATCTTTTTTTATATATTTCACACAGATCTTGTTTTTGTATTTCTCAGTAATATATCATTTTTCAAATCCCAGAAGACAATTTCCATGACCAGTTTATGCAAAAGGAATACAGTTATGAGGTTTCTGTAGAAAATAAAGATGTTTTGAAGTAAAAATAATTTGATTCCTAAGATAGTAATGAGTTAATGTCGGTTCTTTCACTCACTTCACAAGTTGCTGGTGGGTTTGACTGCCTGGCACTCCGGGTTCAGGGCAATTCCAAAATTGTTTGCTATACTCCTGGTAATGCATCCTTCAACCAGCTTTCCAGAGGAAACTAAAAGGTATCTAGCCCAGCCGGCAGTGAGTCTGCCTGCTATCAGCTGAGAACACACTAAACAAGCTCATGAGTTTGCGTAGTAACGAGCTCCATTGTACAAGGGAGAAAGACGCATGGTTCTGCTGAGCTGGTCAATCTCAACTGGGACTGCTCTAGGGGGCAATATGATTAACATCAGCTCCTAAAGAAGTTCCACCTGCTCCTCTACAGCCAGTGACTCCCAACACCACTGTACTTAATTTCGCAATAAAATGAACCTCCAATGTCAGGGGGGCCTTGTGGTATCATCGCTACCTCTGAGCCAGGAGGTCCAGTTTCAAGTCCTACATGATCCAGTGGTGTGTTATAACATCTCTGAAAAGATCGATTAGAAAATATCTGCAGGGCATTAGTGAGGCCACAGGTCAAATGATGAGTGCAGTTTTTGGATCATCCTTGGCAGGCTGTGTATGTAAATTGGTAAGTGATTCAGATGAACAGCTGGCTTAATGATACAGGATAAAAGAAAATAACTAGTATGGTGGTTGAAAAAGTGGTGCCGCAAAGCATCTCTGGGTATGACAAAGTAAAACATTCAATTTTTGATGTTTTTAAGGTGCAGTGGTAGCATCCATACCTCTAAGCCAGGAGACCCAGGTTCAAGTCCCATATGGTCCAGGGCTGTGAAATTTCATTCTTGAACACATGGATTAGAAAAGACGTATGTTCATCTAATTCCAGCCTAACGGAGAGAAATGCTTCATTGAGGAAAACAATTAATGGGGAGAATGAACTCCCCCAAAAAAATTCAAGGCAAAGTTTTCAAAATGTACAGATGAGTAATCTATTCAGATCAAAAATATCTCAAAATATTTAATCATCTTACCCTTCCACATCCTGTTATAAGAGCCAGGTATTTCCAACATTTTTCACTTCTGTGGACCAAGAATAACATTTTCAAGTCCCGGAGATGATGTTCCTTTACCTGCCAAAAGCCTTCACTGTGGCTATTCAACATATACAATTAGGAACAGAAGTAGGCCACTCAGCCCCTCAAGTCTGCTGTCCCATTTAATAAGGGCATGTCTGACTTAATTGTAACCTTGAATCCATGTTCCCGACTACCCCGATAAATTTTCACCCACTTTCTTAACAACAATCTATCCAACTCTTCCTTAAAAATATTCAAAGTCTCAGGTTCCACCACCTTACCAGGAGGAGAGCTCCAAAGACTCCCTCTGAAAGAAATGCTTTTGCCTTATCTCTGTTTTAAATGAGTGACCCCTAATTTCTAAACAGTGGATGCTTACTTTCCACTGATATCATCCCGAACCAGAATAAAAGCTAACCTTGCCATTGCTCTATACAAGCATGGATAGACTGGCCCAAACCTGAATCCAGTATTGAATGGGATTTACTGGAATGATTTCAAAAACTGCCAGGTATTTGGAACCTCTGAGGACAGAGCTGAACAATAATCGTTATAGTTAAAGTTCTAACGTTCTGGTGAAAAAAGACCTTTGTGTGGGCAATGGAGATAAAACCAGAGAGAAACCAAAGATTTATTTGATGTGCAGCATTTATAGAATTCCACGGAATAAAAGTGCATTATCTGTTTTTGTCTTAAAATTTCAATACAGTAAATTATTCTTTCAAGATCACTAATAAAGAAACGTCATCTATTGCAAACCACTTTGGCATGAATAGAAGCTGCATTCAATTCCCTCAGGAGGGTGTGGATGCTGAACAGTAAGAGCTGCCTGAGGGAAAGGTACATAAACGACAGATGAGACCTAAACCAGAGCTTTTGAACTTTATTTGAAACTTCCAAAGTTTCTGTTTCGTGGCTTTCAATGGCTTAATTTCACACTTGCTACTCACTTGCACATTCTTGGTCACTTTGCCCATAGCCTCAAGCAGCAGGAAACATCCCAAATTATTTCTGAATATGTGTTTCTGTGAAAGGACTGAGGAAGGCATTGTTTGGAAGCAGCTTGTTAATAGGTAATGGCATAATACCCTTGGAACTCTGCATATTCACAAAATGTAGATTTGCCAAACCGATAAACTTCACCACAAAGTAACAGTTCACATGAGACTTACCATTTTACAGTAATATTCATATGATGTAAAACACAGTTTACTCAGCAGAGATTTACATGCATCATCACTCACACAACCACCCCTCCATTTACTGAAATACTATTTTCTGAGAATTAAACTTTTTATATGAAAGCTATCACCCAAAGACATTTCTCCAGGTTTTAAAATCTATTTATACAACTAGAGTTTGCAAAGAAATTGCATTCAAACATACAACTCCTTAACAGATCTCTCAGACAATCAAAGATTTTGCACAAAATTGACTTTGTTTAATTTTTTAGGACTCATCCAGAAATGTTCAATTTTATTAATAACTAAACAAAAGCAACTGAGCTGGGTCAACCTAGAGAAAGATCAGATGCTGCAGACACATTACAGCACAGTCACAGGAACTCGTGCATCAGGAGACAAGAACATAGTTTGTCAATATCAACAACTGTTTTGAACTCAACAAGGTCAACTGAAATGCAGTGGTGGCTTGGGATAAATTACGGCATGTTTCCAGATGAAAGATGAGGACTGAAACCAAAATGAGCTTCACTCACTCCAGATGAATGAAACATGATGGATCTGAGCAGCAGAATTCACCTGAGGGCAGTGCACAGACAGCAATGTCAATGGAGTGGCGACCGGTCAGTTCAGATACAAACCATGGACAGAAATAAATATCCAAAGCTTATAGGCAAGGCTGGTGGTGAAAAGAAGCAGACATTTGTGTGGAAAATGACTAGTTCTTTGTCTGGGGGCAGAATTACAATTCAATACATGAATGGCCACACTTTGAGCATGAGATTTGCCTCTCCAGAATTGTTGAGGAAAGAACAGGAAGAGCAAATAACTGTGCAGGTTGACCTTGGACAGATATTGTCCCCGTTCCCACCACCCCAGCAATTATTCTCTGTATGAGACGGTAATTGGACAAGGAACTTGACCTGCCATTATTAGGCCCTAAATGGTCAACTAATGACCAGATAAGGGCCTCAAACTGCCACTGGCCCAATTACCAGCCTTTACAGCAAGCAAGAAAAATGGCTGCCTTCCCAACAATGGCCACCTTTTTATTGGCCAACATCTCTGTCTCGGGCTTGGTGCACTGCTCCAAAGCTCAATGCAAACTGGAAGAACAGCACCTCATTTTCTGCTTAGGAGTCCTGCATCTTTTGGGATTCAATAATTTTAGGACCTGAGCACCTTCTTCCATGCCCTTACCCTATACCGTACACACCAGGCTTGTCATCACATGGGCTGCAACCACAAACAACCCTTTGTCAGCCATTAGCAGCTATTGATTCTCCCAAACTGATCTTTACCCATTTATCTGCCCAACTGTTTCTCTCTCTGTTTCTGGGCTCCATCTCCACCTATTATTTACTCCTCCCCCTGCCTCCACCACATCTTCATCATATCTACCAAACTTTACCCAGCTACAATCAGTTCTGATGAAGGGTCACTGGACTGAAAACATTAACTCTGATTTCTCTCCACAGATGCTGCCAGATTTGCTGAGCTTTCCTAGCAATTTTTACTTTTGTTTCTCACTTCCGACTCCCATGGTTCTTTGGGTTTTTTTTTACCTTTTGTTGCATTGAGAGGGGGAGCTGCATTTGCCCCAGTGTGGTGGCAATCAGGGATAGGGGCATGATTGCAGGGTATGATCGCTACAAACTACCATCTCCTGCATCCATCAGCCAAATAGATGTACGCCCCACTCCCACTTCCCCCATGTTTAACCTGACCCTCCAGTCACAGTCTCCAGCTTCAGACTGGGCACCAACCTTAACTGATAGAGGGCTACAGTCATTAGGCTCTTGGTATAACAGGAAGCTGCCAAACAGCTCAATACATCACTGCTGCTTGAACTGAGAGCCTCCTCACTGGTGGAGCAGAGAATTCAACCATCACTCCTGAAGTTATCTGCCCCAACATTTCGTGCATAGGGCACAAAATTCCAGGCTACTTCTCTGTTTTTGGAGGAAATCTGATTTTACTCCTTGACCCTGTGCCATTTTCCTCTGACTTGTTTTGCTGTCGGGAATACCTGGTGTACGTTGAGCTGCTGAGGTCAGAGTCACCAGTTTTAAAGAGATCCAAATTTGGACAAACACATGCATACCATTTTTATCCGGTCTTTCCGGGTTTTGGAAGCCCATCAGGTTTAAGAGTTTGTGAAGAAAATGGGACACCGCCAATAAATTTGGACCCATTCTGGAAGGTTAATATCACACTTTGAAAAGTCACTATTGGAAGTTAACTTGTGATTTTGATTCACCAGAGGGAACTTCTTTAAATGATTGAGATAACAAGGTGTAGAGCTGAATGAACACAGCAGGCCAAGCAGCATCAGAGGAGCAGGAAAGCTGACGTTTTGGGCCTAGACTCTTCATTTTCTGCTCCTCTGATGCTGCTTGGCCTGCTGTGTTCATCCAGCTCTACATCTTGTTATCTCAGATTCTCCAGCATCTGCAGTTCCTCCTATCTCTTCTTTAAAAGATTACTTGGTTCATTTTTCAGGGCAATGCCTTGAACAATCAGAGTCAGTTTGCCTAGTTTAAAATTTAAACAAAGCCTGATAGTTAACTGCTAATCATCATTATCTAGTGCATCCTCTGTGGGAACATCTCTAACAAACTGATCCACTTGCCAAGCAGAGATAACAAGGTGT